GCAAGCTTTTAAGATCCCATTTGCTACTCGCCAAAGTAGAGGTGGAACAATGTTTTGTATAGTATGTTATGCCAATTGAACTTGATGTCCTCTGCAACTATGGTCCCGAGCCCACAGGTTCAACTACTCGGTCCCTCTGGGTAGCTGGCTGTGACCAAGAAATGACTACAACCTTGCCCCTTATTAGCTCTACTATATACCTGGGAATTCAGATCATACAAATAAACTTATAGGACCATTGTCTGCCATCCCTATACATGGTCTTGGGTACACTCCCTGCTTCATAGACATACCTAATTGTTCAGCCTGTCCACCCATCTATCCACCCGTATAACCATGGTTGCCTTCACTGACAACGCAGTACTATATGCAGAAGGATTTATGTTTGTTGTCTGTACCTCCCACGTACCTCTCTATGTCTTTCTCTTCCACAATGCTACCATATTGATCACTCACATTTGGTATGTTGCCCTTCTCTTCACCCAACTCAATACTTATCTCTATCTATCTAACAGTGTTCCCTGCCCTCCCCTCCCACCCCTGGTAACCAACAAAGAAAATTTCCTTCCATAGATAAACGTTTACTTGACTTTTACAATAATGGACTAATACAGTTTTGTCCTTTTGTGCTTGACTTATTTCACTCAGCATAATGTCCTCCAAGTTCATCAATGTTATGCGGTGTTTTGTAGATTCTGCGTTATTCTTTAGGGTTGCTTGGTATTCCATTGTGCATATGTACTATAGTTTGGATATCCATTCCTCAGTTGATGGACACCTAGGTGGTTTCCATCTTTTGGCTATTGTAAATAGTGCTGCGATGAACATGGGTGTGCATATGTCTGTTCTTGTCATGGTTCTCATTTCTTTAGGATATATACCTAGTAATGCAATGGTTGGGTCAAATGGTATTTCTAGTTCCAACTTTTGAAGGAATCACCAAACTGCTTTCCACAATGGTTGAACCATTTTACAGTCCTACCAGTAGTGTATGAGAGTCCCAATCTCTCCGCATCCTTGCCAGCATTTGTTATTTTGTGCCTTGTTGAACATTGCTACTAGTGCGGGAGCAGGATGGTACCTCATTGTTGTTTTGATTTGCATCTCTCTAATAGCTAATGATCATGAGCATTTCTTCATGTTTGTTGGCCGCTTGAATATTGTCCTTGGTGAAGTGTCTATTCATGTCTTCTGCCCATTTTTTAATTGGATTGCTTGTCTTTTTGTTATTGAGATGTTGGAGTTCTCTATAAATTCTAGAGAAAAGTCCCTTGTTGGATATGTCATTACCAAATATTTTTTCCCAATCTGTAGGTTCTCTTTTGACTCTTTTGGAGAAGTCTTTGGA